GTCCTGTACCTGTACAGTGAAAACCACCCAGAAGGTCCACCCCCACCCCCTTCTTTGCTTCCTCTATCCCCCCACCCACCCACCCCTTTCCCCACTGCTTCCCTACCCCCACTGTGAGCAGGGTTGAGTCAGCCTCGCCTGGGTCCCGCCCCCGTGGTCTCCGGCCCAGCAGCCCGCAGAGCAGTGAGGGCCCGACTCCGTTCCACGCCACCCCCTGGGCACTTCCTTGGCAGGGATTTGAAACGTTTCCATTTAAATGACATTTGAACAAACGCGGAGGGGTTCAGTTGTACTTCAATCAAATTCCGTAGGATCCAGTTGGGAGCCGGGTCCCTGTGGACAGAGAGCATGGAGTTCGCTCTGTTTTCTGATTTGAATTGCTTTGTTCTCTTTCCAGGAAGGGGGAAAGGGAGGGGGGGAGGGATGCATTTGGCCTAAAATGAAACATTTCCCTTTTAAGTCAAAAACTTGAACATGGCTTGAAGGAGAGAGTTTAAGCTCCATAATCCCCGGTCCAGAGCAAAGCAATGACGAGCCCGCGATTTCGGTTTTGGAGGAGAGAAGTCGGGGCAGAGCAGCCGGGCACCCCCGGTGAGCAGCCCCGGAACAGGCATTTCACACGCTCCTGGGGCCACGGCTCAGAAATGGTGCCCTGCAGGGCAGTCTATGCAGATACGCTCCGTGTATCAATCCTTTGGTGGGGGAAGCCACAGGGGCAGCTTTTCTGTGGCTCCCAGCTCTCTTCCCCCTCCCCGTGCGTGTGTGGATCCCACCCACGGCGCCTGTCACCACACCACCTGCTTCTGGTTCTCTGCGGGCCCTGCCCCCCGGGAACCTGGAACCTCTGTGCTCAGCCCTCAATCTCTTCTCGTCTTCTGGCCCGCCAGCCGCCGTGGAGTGGCGCCGTCACCAGGGACAACGTCGATGTCAAGTCTTGGCACAAATCCCTCAAGCTCCCTATGCTTGGGTTTTCCCATCTCAGGCCTGGGAAAATTGGACCACATCGCATTCTGAATTATCATGCGTTTGAGAGTTGTTTGAATCATCAAGCACTGAAAGGGATATGAGCAAGTATCTAAGTCAGGTTTTCTGATTTTTATCTGATGAAAAAGAGGGCAGCTAGCTGAGCCCTAGCCTCCAGGCACCCAAGTGAAGTATCTTGCTAGTTTGACCTTGACCGCGTGCTTCAAGCCCTCCCTCTCAGAAAGCTCGGGCCAGCTATTTAACTCGATCAATATGGGTTTCACTGAAGGGAAAATATAGAGACGGATGGATGAACAGGTGAATGGATGGATAGAAACTCTATCAGATTAATGAATATTTACTAGCCTGCCCACGCAATAAAATGACTGGGAGTAGGTTTCAGACACACAACGGAACCGACCCAACGTGTCCCATCTTTGCTTAGCCACGCAAGTCTTGCTTAACCATAGGTTTGCGGTTTTGGGTTTTTTGTTTTGTTTTGTTTTGTTTTTCTGTGGTTTTTTTTTGAGGCCAGGCTTGCCTCTGTTTTGTCCATTCTGAAGGAGGAGCTATTTTACATGGTGACTCTATGTCCTGGAACTCGGAATTAATCAGAACTACACTACATTAATCAGAACACTTTTGTCTGCACCTGACAGAAACTCAAGTCCACCTGGCTTACACCCCAAGGAGAATTCAGTGCTGTACACAGTTGACCCCTGACCCATTGTTCAGGGGGTTGTGGAAAGTGCATCAGTCCCTTGCACAGTTGAAAATCCGAGTATGACTTTTGACTCCCCAAAGACATAACTACTAATAGCCATCTGTCGACCGGAAGTCTTACCGACAACATAAACAGTCGCGTAATGCATATTTCATCTGTTGTATTATATACTATATTCTTACAATATAGTAAGCTAGAAAAAGAAAATGTTCTTAAGAAAATCATAAGGAAGGGGCACCTGAGCGGCTCAGTCAGTTAAGCGTCTGACTTTGGCTCGGGTCACGATCTCATGTGAGATTAAAAAAAATTTTTTTAAGTTTTAATGTTTATTTATTTTTGAGAGAGAGAAAGAGAGACAGAGTGCGAGCAGGGAAGGGGCAGAGAGAGAGGGAGACACAGAACCCGAAGCAGGCTCCAGACTCTGAGCTGTCGGCACCGAACCCGACGTGGGGCTGGGACTCACCGTGAGAGCATGACCTGAGCCGATCGGAGGCTTAACCGACGGAGCCACCCAGGCATCCCAACATTAAAAAAATTCTTTAAAGAAAATCATAAGGAAGAAGAAACGCATTTACGGTGTTGTACTATGTTTAGTGGGAAAAAATGGAGCCACGCAGTTCAAATCTGTGTTGTTCAAGGGGCCGTTGTATAAACAAAAGCTCCAGAGGTAGATTTGCTGTTGTGTAGAGTTGAAAACAGGCCCGTAAACAATGTGATCAGAAATCTTTCTCGGCTTTGCATTCCTCGGTTTTGGCTTCATTCCTGGGCAGGCTCTTATACACGGAACCTCAGAAGAGATGCCGCACAGAGAGCAGCTCTAAGCTCACCTGGTCCTTAGAGCCAGCGACTCCACAGTTGTTCTGGCTAAGGCTCCATGGCTGTCTCCGATAGGCCTGGCTTGGGTCAGGTGGCTATTCCTGAACCAATCACCGTGGCCAGAAAAATGGAATAAATATTCTGATTGGTCAGGCCAGGATGGCAGTGGTAGCTGACTGAGAGAGGGCAAAATGGACAGGGAGGGTTCTTCATCCAGAGGGAGAGGTACGGAGAACACAACGGCACCTGACCATGACACTGACGTACCTATTCTGCCCCAGGCTGCAGCTATGTTTTTCTCCACTTTTCCCTAGGACACATTTATCCTCATAAAAGGTAAAGTTTACGAACTTGTGAAATAATTCCAGGGCCCATGGTACAGGCTTGCGGCACATGGCACTTGCTAAAAACGGCTGCGATAATATCTTCTTCCCCACGTGCTCTTTTAGAACCTTGCTACTCCCCCTCTCCTTGAACCCGGGTGGGCCTGGTGGCTGCCCGTCCGACGGAGTAGGTCAGAAGTGACGCTATGTAACATCCAAGGTTACGTGAAAATGTAATGCATGTCATGAAAATGTCATGCATTTCTGCCTCGTCCTTTGGGGATGCCCACTCTTAGAGCGTGACCACCATACTATGAGAAAGCCCATAGGGATGGGCACTGAGGCCCACAGATCTGGCTGAGGCTGAGTCTCCAAAGAATAGGCAGCATCAACGTGCCAGCCATGTGGGTGAGCCATCTCTAGAGAGACTCCTTCAGCCCCCTGTTGAGTTACCCCAGCCGAAGCCACGCCGAGCAGAGATGAACCGTTCCCTCCAGGTCCTGCCCAAATTGCAGATTCATGAGCGAAATAGATCAGTCTGTTTTTTTAAGGCACTAAGTTGTGGCATAGTCTGTTTCACAGCAATAGATAACCGGTAGAAGGATCTAACAGGGACAGAGGCTGGCAGCCTGGAGTTAATGATGCATAGACCACTCCTGGTCGCTCTTCCACCTCCTTGGGATGGTGACAAATTAGACATCACTTGGTGCAGAGGTACCAGAAGATGTGGGAGTTCTCTGGTCCATTCTTCCAATTAGCTGTGTGACTCCACAAAAGGCGTCTCACATTGTTAGACCTCCCGTGTGCCTCCAAATATGCAAATATTACGTCACAGATCATGCCATATTGCAAATGTAAATCGCACAAACGTAGAGCTTTCTGTAGAGAAGATTCTCTACCAGCAAGACATGGGTTCTGACTCAGGCGCTACCCAAGTGGTTAAACCGTTCTGGTGCCTGTAACCTGCCCCTCTGGAGGTATCTTAACTCAGGACGTGAACTTGCCATTAATACCAAACATCCTGCTTGAAGGCTCCTAATCAATGTTGGGTCTAGTCATGATTAAAATCAGAGCTTGAGGGGTGCCTGGGTGGCACAGTCGGTTAAGAGTCCGACTTCAGCCAGGTCACGATCTCGCGGTCCGTGAGTTCGAGCCCCGCGTCGGGCTCTGGGCTGATGGCTCAGAGCCTGGAGCCTGTTTCCGATTCTGTGTCTCCCTCTCTCTCTGACCCTCCCCCGTTCATGCTCTGTCTCTCTCTGTCCCAAAAATAAATAAACGTTGAAAAAAAAAATTTTTTTTAATAAAATAAAATAAAATCAGAGCTTGAAGAACCCCAGAGTGTCTGCCAAAATGAAAGTAGGTTAGGGCAATGAGTTCATCTCGAGGCAAAATTGGACATAACCTTGCACGACCTCACCCCAGCAAGGATTTCTAGGCTCCAATCTGTCCGCCGTGCCTTCTGGGCTCGGGTTTCGCTGGATTTCTGACCTGTTACTCGAAGGCACTCATGATCCTGTTCAGACCCTTTCTTCTGCCTGGGATTGCAACTCTCCCATCCCCCCTCCTTCTCTAACATGCCTATTTATCCTCCATGATTCACCTCAGAAATTTGCTCCCCAATGCCTTCCATGTTGGTCTCCACGGTCAACACCCACCTCCCTCCCCCACACTCCCGCAGCCATCCACACACGAGTGTCCCCGAGGATGAGCCCTGCTCCCAGCTACGGAGCCCTGACAGGGGCTGAAGTGATCTAACGATCTCCCCTAACAGGAAGCCCGGGGCCAGGGCTGTTCTGGCATTGGCACAGAAGTTCCACAAGGCTCTCTGGGAATCTGGCTCGTATATTCTTCCCATATTGCAGAACTCCGCACTTGGCCTTTCAGGTTTAGTCTCGACACCTGCCTCCTCTCCAAATGCCATGTCTATGCACCACCATTCCCCAGGCAGGAAGGAGGAGGCCAGACCTCATTGTCCACCTCTAGTCACATGCCCCACCCCTAAACAATTCCTAGAAGTGGGGATTACCCTTGGCTTGGTCTAGTAGTGGCTTATCCCTTGGGATTGGGAGGGACCCACCTGTCCTAAGAATGTGCTCACACGATACAACCTCCGAGCTCCGTAAACAAAGGAGTAATGGAATTTGGTTGTTGGGTAGGCAAACTAACAGGGGTGGGGTTTTTTTTTTTTGGTTTTTTGTTTTTTTAATTTTTTTTTTGTCTGTTACCACGTCATGTAACTGCTGGTTATATACATGACTGTCTTCCAGCTGGACTGAGTTTTGCCAAGAAAAGAACAATAGTTACTTATCGCTGCGTTCACAGCACCGCCTCCAGAGCCTGGCACTTTGAAGAAACTCACTAAATATTGCCCAAATGAAGGCCAAATTCATTTTGGAGTCCCCACGTGCTCGGTTTTCTTTACGAAACCCTTTACGACTTGCTTACGAGTAACTTCTTCGTTACTCTTGGCTCCTCAGGGGGCCTCCTCAGAGGCACCTGCCATCAGCAGAAATATGGGTGAATTCTACTATGTATATTCACATACATTCAATACAGTCACTCAGGATAAACCGTGGAATACGATATGTCAATAAGCATGAACAAAACTTTACATACACATCATGGATAAATCTCATAGTACGGTACAATCCACAAATCTCGGTACGATCCATTTCTATAATGTTCAGAAAATTTCCGTCTACAAAGAAGACCAATCTCAGGTGTCAGAAGCCCGGGCGATGGTTCACGGAGGGGAGAGGTAGCTGGCAGAGGGCCCAGGGGGAGCTTCTGGGGTCCTCGAAATGCGTGTTTCTTGATCCAGGAGCCGGCCACATGGGCTTAGCGCTCACTTTGAGAAAATTCATCAAGCCGTATGCTGGGTCTCCGCGTGAGCTTCTCTACTTATGTCAAACTTCAATGAGAACGTACGTTAAAAAAAATACTGCCTAGTTCAGAAATTACACTGAGCAGATCAATGTTGAAGCGATTCATGTGCCTTTGTGTTTTAATAACAGTTCAATTCTTTCCAAAACGATTCTTTCATTGTTACATCAATATAATTCATCATGGCAAGTTTTCCTTTCACACTGTACAGACAGCTGTGTCCTCAGGCCCCATGCTGGCCAGCCCTTTGTACGGACTCTTCTGTTTATTGGCAAGGCCAGTTCTGCTCGGCACCTGTGCTCGCTTGGAATCCCTAAACCCATCCCAGATGCTTCGGCTAATTTCGGGTTGAGCAGGAAAAGGTCCCCTGATAGACAATGGGGTGTGATGGAAAGAGCACGAGACTTGGAGCCGGATAGACCCGTGCCGTTAACACATCTCTGCCGCGTGAGTTCAGCTTCAACCGTGTTATCTGTAAAATGTGACCACGATCGTACTCGCCCCATAGGACAGTCGTGAGGGGTGAACGGCATAACACAGCGTGGCCAGCCCACTTGTTGGTTGTCTATTTCTCTCTAGATCCGGATGTCGGATGTGGAATCGTTGCATTATCCCTCTGAAACCAATGGAAGGTTGTGTGTCAGTTCTACCTTAAAATAAAATAAAATAAAATAAAATAAAATACCGGTGGCTTCCTTAAGAAAGAAAAACACTGGCCAGCCCAATGCCCGGCATATTGAGTTTCCTTCCTTAGTAAATGTGAGCTGTTGTTATTGTCATCTGAAGTCCCTTTTTCTTCCCTTTTCAAAATTAATGAATGTTCTATCGCCCCCCCCCCAAAAAAAGACTATAAAAAACACAGGAAAGCACCAAGAAGAAAGAAGAAATCGCTCAGCATTAACCGCTGACTCATAATTTTGTGGTGTGACCCTTTTCCTGTGCCATAAGGGTATATACCCTTATACCTTTCCTGCGTCTAAATCCCAGCCCACAGCTTCAGGTGGGCAAGAAAGAAATCTTTATTTCCTCTAGCTCAACTCGATTTGTGTTATGAGCCCAAGAGGCCCTGCAGGCAGGAGCTCAGTCTCCTCAGTTCAGCCCCTCTCCTTTCCCTGGGCCGTATCCAAATTCCCACGGCAGGTGGAGGAGGTGAGCAAGACTGAGCAGAAGCAGTCAGCGGCAAGGGGGTCTGGTCCGTGGATCTGGGCGTCCATCCAGACGGTTCGCTGCCCGTCGCCCCTCACTCCCAAGTGCAGACCCAGCGGGTCCCCTGCCTCTGCCTCGTGGGTCCCTGGAGAGTGGCGACAAGCCAGGGTGTGCCACAGAGGTTGCCTGAGGTCTCATCGCAGGGACCCTCCCCCAGTATTCCGTCTCTGGGGTCAAAGGCCCTTTGGGAATTGGCCTCAGGCCCCCTTGGTTCTTGAAGCCTGTGAAGTTATCCTCCACCTTCCTGCAGGCAAGGCTCAGGGCTTTTTTTCTCAGGAACACTCTAGCATCTAAGCTCTCCGCGTCTCTGAGACAGTCTCCCCTCCAACAGTGGGACAGTGGGACAGTGTCTCTCTGAGACAGTGTCTCCCTTCCAACATACCTCCATCCCCCTCCCCCTCCCCCACCAGCCACCCCCCTCCCCCCCCCCCCCCCCCCATCCCCCCCCGGGTCCTCTTTGGGGGGAGGGGCAGGGGGGGGGGGGGGGGGGGAGGGGGGGCGGAGTTTATCCCCCTTCTGTTGTTTACGCCCCTGTCGACTTTCCAACTTTCCGTTTCTGCTGCTTCCATTCACGTTCCCTTCCCTGGGACAACAGGCACCAAAGAAGGAACTTTAATAATCCTGGCTAAGGAGAGGGTTCAGCAAAGGGTAAAAGGAAATGCAGATACAAAGGTTTCCCTTCATGTTTTATTTATTTACGTTTTTAAATGTTTATTTCTGAGATAGCACGAGCAGGGGAGGGGCAGAGAGAGGGGGGACAGAGGATCCCAAGCGGGCTCCGCCCTGCCAGCAGCGAGCCCGATGCGCGGTTCGAACCTACGAACCACGAGATCATGACCTGAGCTGAAGTCGGACGCTCAACCGACTGAGCCACCCAGGTACCCCTCCCTTAATGTTTTAAAAATACACACACACACACACGCACGCACGCACATGCACACACACACAAGTATGATGCTGTTTTGTGACCTGGTTTTTCCTCTCAACACTGCATTAGGGACCCATCCCTGTGTCATTAGGGCATCTTGACTGACTGCATCTGTGCCGCCGTATGGAGGGGGAGTTACTTACCTTCCTGTTCCCAGGAGAAATGCGTCATTCCCAAACCCTTACTACTGTAATTAACACTGCAATGAACATCCCCAGGGCACACCTCTCTCTCAAGGCAGGGGTCAAAGCCTCCCCAAGCCCCAGTCTCCTGATGTGAAATCACTGGCAATACTTCACAGAGTCCACAAAAGAATCAAATGAAGGCCGCCTGGGTGGCTCAGTCAGCCAAGCGTCCGACTTCAGATCAGGTCATGGTCTCACGGTTCATGGGATCGAGCCCCTCGGCTGGCTCTGTGCTGATGGTGCGGAGCCTGCTTCAGATTCTCTGTCTCCCTCCCTCTCTGCTCCTCCCCCACTCACGCTTGCGTGTGTGTGTGTGTGTGTGTGTGTGTGAAAAATGAATAATTAAACATTAAAAAAAAGAAAGAGTCGAATGAGACATGTGAGGTGCTCAGCAAACTCAAGTTCAAGGAAAGATAAAATGATGATGGCGGTGATAACGGCACAGCTTCTAACAAGTCCCTATTTTCCTCGGGATTAAAACCAAAACACGAACCTTTTGAATTCAATAATACGTACATTTTCGAAAGTCTTCTGACCGTTCATCTCACTTACCCTCCAGAGGACCCTGCCCAGGCCCCCGTTGCCAGGCTGGTGCACCTGCCTCCCAGCTGTTGGCCATCTTGACTGCAAAGAGCTCACAGCTGCACTGTTATCTGGGGAACCTTGGCCTGGGCAGTCCCAGGGCAGCCTGCGGCCAATGGCTGATTGATACAGGGTACAATGGCTAACCCCCTCGCCTCAAGGCGGGACAACCTGTGGCGTCATTCAACCCCCAGAGTCCCCCTTGGGATGGGCTAAGACCAGTTTCTCTTTGCTGGGCTCCTTTCTCTATCCTGCCTCCTTTACTTCCTTAAAGGTATTTCTCCTAAGAACCTCCTTCAATGAAAAAGTCACCTACATGAGTGTCCCTTCTGTGACTCCCTCCTACGGCACTCTTCCGATGGTGGTGTGGCAGAGGCGGTCAGGTGGGAGGTATTAGGTGCTATACACAAATGGCACTCTTTAAAACTACCTACAACAGCCGCGCCTGGGTGGCTCAGTCAGTTAAGCGTCCAACTCTTGATCTCAGCTCAGGTCATGATCTCACAGTGCCTGGGTTTGAGCTCCGCATCGGGCTCTGTGCTCCAAGGGTGCAAAACCTGCTTGGGATTCTCTCTCTCCCTCTCTCTCTCTGCCCCTGCCCCCACTCACACTCGCATTCTCTCTCTCTCTCAAAATAAAAACTTTAAAAAATAATAATAAAAAAAAAAACACCTACCACAGAGCTAGGAAGGATGGGGGGCGGGCTGGTATGTGGGTGGAATGGGGTCCTCAGTCCCAGAAAACCCCAACTCCAAATGGTTGCATCTCCCCCCAATACCCGTGCACGGGATGCCCTCACCCAGCCAGCCAGTGGAGCCTCGGAAGCAAAGGAGGGCCGGCAAGCCATACGATGACCTACGGGGCCAGTGCCAAGTGAAGGAGACGGGGCGGGGTGGGGGGGGGTGGTGGTTGGCTGCCCTTCACGCGAAGAGACTTGAGGAAGCTGGAAAACCACGGGGGAGGACTGAGAAGTAGCGGGAGGAGTAGGCGGGCTGCAGGTGAACACAAAGGTAGCCGAGACAAAGTTCAGAATGGAGCCAAGGTGGAAACTGAACAGTCGGCCCCAGTTCACGTGCATCTATTTAACAAGGACGCTCATTGATAAGCCGACCACCTGATGCTCGCCTAGTAGAAGAAATAATAATAAAGCCTGCTTTTGGGTTGATAAGCCAAGATCTTTCATCTCTCCCTCTCTCTCTCCCTCTCTCTCTCTCTCTCTCTCTCTCTCTCTCTCCCGCTCTTTTCTTGATGACTGAAGTACCCACTCTGTGATGCCTTCTGCTCAATCCACACTGGTAATAGTGACAAGACTTTGATGTCCTCCTCATTCAACAGAATGTTGTTTAGTTCAAAGCAAAGAACAGAAGCAATTCTTTGCTTTTAAATTATTAGCTCCCTAAGTCTTCTGTAATGATATAGTTTGACTGAAGTGTGCAGTTTATTAACCACATAAAGACGACATTATCAGAGCGGAGAAAGGCCGCTGTGAGTTTTGCCTTTCAGCCCAACAGCGGGGGTTCCAGATACTTTGATCTCAATCAATGCTAAATGTCTTTGTGAGATAGAGAGAGGGCTGAAATTATCTTTGGCATGGCGGCAACATCAATTATTCAAGCCCTTTTTCTTATGAATTAAAGTGTTCTTCAACTTCCACCCCACTTGTGGGTTTGGGTTTTTTTTTTTTTTCTCTTACTGTTTTTCCAGCCAGGAAAGGCACTTGGAATAAATCTCCAAGCGTCCACTAACCATAGTCGAGCTGACCTTTGAAAAGCTACATCCACTCCTCCTCCTCCTCCTCCTCCTCCTCCTCCTCCTTCTTCCTGATTGCTGTCCCCACCCTCACTCCCAGCCCCGGTCTTCTCTGAGGTGACCCATAGGACGACTCCAAGAAAAGGGGGACATTGTTTGGGTCTGGATTCGTGCCAGGATGGTCAGCAGAGGCCAATGAAGCAACCCCTTGACAGAAGCTCTGGTTTGAAATCTGCTGAAAAGGGGACGCCCACAGGCGGTGGGAAGTCCCCCCAGGCTGACGTCAGCTGCTTACCGTGTCCCCCAAGGCAGAGTTCGACTAGCAAAATTGCCCTTGTCGTCAAGACCCGGTTCTCCTCCATCCGCTCACCCTCCGGGGCTGGTGATTTTCAAACTGCAGCCTGAGACCCGCGTGAGGGTCATCAAATCCCTTCAGTGGATCACGTCCTGCAGAAAAGAATGGAAAAGAAAATGTCAGAGTCATTCAATGTACAGAGTCAGTATTGTTTCTTGAAACTTGTGTTTCAGATATGAGTGTACTGGGTCACCATATATCATCACCACGTTTTTGCCTCCAAAGAGAACCTGAGACAAGGGTTTGGGACAAGTAGCTTATTCGGGGGTGGGGGAGGGTGATTCCAGAAAGTACTGTGAGTAGTGAGGTAAATGAGACAAGAAAGGAGGAAAGCCAGTGAAGCCTGAATTAACGAGACCACTGGAAACCTCCCGGTTCCCTTTAAGAGACCCTATGGAAGGGCCTCGGAGTTATCTCCCTGGAGGCGTGGAAGCTGGAGGGTCCACAGACACCCATCCTTCATCAGTTAGGGTCTCGCCTGGGCATCAGCTCCCTAGCACTTCCGGGATGCCCCACCCGAAGACCAAGTATGCCCTTGTGCCAGAGGACATCTTCTGGCAGAGCAACGGGGTGTGTGTCAGAATGCAGAGGAACTTTCTGTGACCACCTCGGAATAGACCGCGGGAATCTAGATGGAGCTTCAACAGCGTCTGCTCTGTCATGTAAAACGTGTTTCTTATCATGGATGGCAGTCGCCGTGCTTGGTGCGGTGGGGAATCCAGCCCTTCCGGTGCTGCTGCTCCAACTGGAAGACAAACCAAAGCAGAATCCCTAGCCAGAGAGCAACATGCAGCCAGCCACCGAGTCAGAAACTAGGACTTGTCCTCGTCCTTGTGTGATGTTTAGCTTTGCGGGTCAACCCGAGTCGGCCACGGTCAGTTCGCCCCAATGTTTCTGTGCAGATGTTTTTTAGATGAAATAACACTTAAACTGGTGGACCTTGACCGAACGTACAGACAGGTGGAGACGACTGGGCGGATGATATGGAAAGGAGCGTGAAACCCTATGAGGCGTGGTTACATTTCAGAAGTCCCCTGGGAGGAGATGCTGAAGTTACTCTCCCTTGTTCTGAAACCACATCCTTACTTGGCTTCCTCCCCTTCCCTGTCCTGCTCTTCCCGCTGCCTGACGGGTTTCTTCTAGAAGCAGGTCCATAATAAAATCACTTGAACGTGAATCCGTCCGTATCTCAGGGTCTGCTTTTTAGGAAACCCACCTGCAACGTTGCTCTTGGTGCTTTAATGCATTTCCTTCCATTCCTTTTCCATACATACAGTGCGTGTCATATGGCTCTGATACACTGTGCTTTCGTTTTTTAACCCTTTGAGAATTTTAATTTTTTTTTTTTTGTCTTGGAGACAATTTTAGTTTATTTTATTTATTTTTTAATTTAATCCAAGTTAGTTTATTTAATTTAATTTAATTTAATTTATTTATTAAATTAATTAATTTAATGTAATTTAAATCCCAGTTAGTTAACGTATAGTGTAATAATGGTTTCAGGAGTAGAATTTAGTGATTTGTCACTTACATATAACACCCAGTGTTCATCCCAACACGTGTCCTCCTTAGCGCCCATCACCCATTTCACCCATCCCCTCACCCAACACCCCGCCAGCAACCCTCAGTTTGTTCTCTGTATTTAAGAGCCTCTTATGGTTTGCCTCCCTCTCTCTTCATATCTTATTTTTCCTTCCCTTCCCCTGTGTTCATCTGCCTTGTTTCTCAAGTTCCACATACGAGTGAAATCATATTTATCTTTCTCTGACTGACTTATTTCACTTAGCATAATACATTCTAGTTCCATCCATATTATTGCAAATGGCAAGATTTCATTCTTTTTGATCGCCAAGTAATACTCCATTGTATATATACACCACATCTTCTTTACCCATTCATCCGTCGATGGACATTTGGGCTCTTTCATTAATTTGGCTGTTGTTGCTAGGGCTGCTCTAACCATTGGGGTGCATGTGCCCCTTCGAATCAGCATTTTCTAGCCTTTAGATAAACACCTACTAGTGGGATTTCTGGGTCATAGGGTAGCTCTATTTTTCATTTTTTGAGAAAACTCCCTACTGTTTGTTTTTTCAAATGGCCACACCAGTTTGCATCCCCACCAGTAGCGCAAAAGGATACACTGTACTTTATGAAAGATTTGGCCCTGATCTTCCCAGAAGCCAGTGCTGAGAGAGCCATGATTGATCATATGATTCATGGCATCTATGAGATTTAAAAAAAAAAAAAAAAAATCATGACCAGGGAGAAGAAGAATTTTCTGGCATTAAGTATAGAGAACATTTTTTCCTGGGGATTGTAGGGAACCACATCCTCAATGGCTTCCGGCAATGACAATAGTAACAAGTTCCATAAGCTGATGGCAAAGAGCCCAAGTGGTGTGGTTGAGGGAGAGAGCTTTTGATGCTCTGACAAAATCCAAGGATTAAATTCAGTGTGTAATGAGGGATTGCACAAGCAAAGGCCTACAGGGGCAAAGCGGGTAATATAAATAAGGCACCATGTGAGAAAAAAAAAATCACAGGGGGGCACATCTCCTCTCTGAGGGAGCCGCTAGTCAGCTTGAATTAGGAGTGACCATGGGAGAACATTGCTTCCAGATCATCAAGAGGACCTCGAATTTTCAAGAGGGCATGGAAATCAGAATTTCTATGTAAAATATTCCAATTTAAAAATATCGAAGGGGGCGCCTGGGTGGCTCAGTCGGTTAAGCGTCTGACTTCGGCCCAGATCATGATCTCATGGTCCGTAAGTTCAAGCCCCGCATCGGGCTCTGTGCTGACAGCTCGGAGCCTGGAGCCTGCTTCGGATTCTGTTTCCCTTTCTCTCTGCCTCTGCCTTGCTCTCTCTCTCTCTCTCTCTCTCTCTCAAAAATAAACATAAAAAAATAAAAATCTTGAAGATGAATTTTTATTTTTAAAACACTGTGCCAGATATGACTGTGGACCAAATTCAACCCATGACTAACAACTTGCAACCACTGTCAAAATGGGAAAATAATGCATGCTCTTCAAATAAGCCACCAAAAATAGTCCCTGACACAATTTAGCTTTTAACTGCATTTTTCTATTGCTAAAAGTGTATTACACAGTCGGTTTTATATTCTGCTATTGCCCCTATCATAGTATAAGCATTTTCTTACATCATTAAATACCACTCATAAAAATAATTGTAATGGCTACATCACTAAAGTGTCATGACTCACTTAACCCTTCTCCCTGTTTGATAACTTAGCATGCATGGGGTTCGGGGGAGCGCTTTAGTAAATACTGTATTTTAGATACTTGCCCCTGCAAACATCTATTTCACACTCTGTAGGTCAGCTGCCGTGTGTCTGATCTTGTCCAGAATTAGTTAAACTAGACTGGACTCCAGACGTCGTTTGAGTTCTGGTCTTCTTTCCTGAACACAATCCAAAAGAGCCCGGGTCACCTGGGATACTCTCTTCTCAGACTGGAGGACAGAAGGTCTGAGAGAACTCGCTGTGCTTCTTACGACCTCATCTAGGAGCTCGCTCGTTGTCACTTTTTTCCCACACTCCCCTGGGTCAAAGCAAGTCACATGGCTCACAGGGTGGGAAGTATGTCCTGACTTCAGGGAAGTCACTGCCAGAAAGAACGGGGAAAGAAAGAAAAAGTCTACACAAATAATAAATCTGCCAGGCCAGTAGACCAGAAAGTCACTGAATTTAGAATTATTGTCTTGTATCTAATCCTCTTACTACCTTCGTAACTGACTTAAATCGTTTTCGGTGATTCTTTTGAGTTTTCCGTATTTACAATCACATTACCTACAAATAGCATTCTTCTCCTCCTCTTCCAACTCCGGCCTCAACTCTCATTATTTCTAATATTATTATCACTTATTACTGCATTAGTAAGAAAGAGCATAAAATGATCGAGATGGTATAAAATTACTATCATGAGGAAAATAGCACGGTATGGACGTAGGGACGGCGGAAAGATCTAGTAAAACTTTTTGAGGAAATGTCATATAAGCAACACACATAACTTGAGGGAAATATACCAAAATGAACTTTGTATCTCTTGTTATTATGGTAGATTGTAATGGCATTTATTTACTTATTTATTTATTTCCTTCCTTCCTTATTTACTTATTTACTTACTTATATGTCTATCTTCCTAAGGAGACATTCCGTTTCTCAAGGGAAGAGACAGCTTCCTGTGTATCTAATGTTCAATCAATGTTTCTGGCCTTGATATTGGAATGAGTGAATTTATACCCTGGCTAATAAATTTCCCTGAAGACGTACATTCCTTCTGTCATACTGTGCCCTGCCTCTGTGTAGACTGCTTCTTTGGGATCCCCTAGGGCCTTGCTTTGCCACACTCCTGACCTGAATCCAATTCCACCAAACACTGTTTTCTTACCCTTGACCCTCACTCTCTTGTATCCCAGTGCGCCCCTCCCCCCAAGTCCTGTTGACCTCCACCGCCGACGCGTCTCTCAGATCTTTCTGTGTCTTTCCATCCTCATTGCCACGTCCCTAGTTCACCTCATCGTGTTCCCCTCCACACTGTTGCTGGAGAGAAATTTCAAACTTGCGAATGGTACCCTATCCTTCCTGATTTGAAATCTTTTGACGGCTCTCCACTGTGTTCACAGAGGAGTCTCATATTTAGAATGGTGCTCATCGCCTGGCTTACCCCTCTAGCTTTTTCCCCGGTCCTTCCACCTCTCACACCCATTCCCTGCGGTGTGAGAATCCTTGCGGCATCCTGAAAATACCAGAAGAACTAAGGATCAGAAGGCCTGATTGGGAGCTACCTAATTTGGTGGGAAAACAGATGAACATTACAGAAACTCCCTTTCTTAATTCCTTTCAAATCTGGTCCATGTGGGTAGAATGGAATAATGAAAACGTCTTCAGTGGTGCAACGATTTTGGAACCACTGAGATACGGATGGGACATAAATGATCACAGATACGTCCAAGGGAAGGAAAAATAATATTATTACTTGTATGCCCCTCATTGCCTGGGATGGGTGGAGGAGGAGGGGAATAATGAGCAAGAAAAAGTTGTTCAAGGATAAAGCATGTTTTCCTACATTCGACACAG